AGAGGACTTACCGTTCGACAGAAACAAACTATTCGCTGAAAAGACAGACAGTATATTACATTCATCTAAGGACTCACGCACAACCCTCCGAACATTGGGTATGTACACCCCTCCATACAGACGACGTTGTTACCTTCCCTACCAATGATGTTACAATTACTCATATGTTAGGCAGCAATGGCAGCACCAACAGTGGACCCTTGATCAGCAACATATGTGGCAAAGACCTCAGAGGCGTCAAAACCAGGGGAACCGTATGCAGACCCCACTGAACAACAAACAGCAGGTTTGATGCCTTGGTCGAGGGTATGCAGACAGTCTTCTACATCAACAAGAGTCACCACATTCACCTGTTCCATCATCGCCTGAGGCCCTTTTAACACCAATGGGCCTCAATCACTGCAGACAAGTGGGTGTTGGAGATAGTTCAATCCGGATACTCCATACCCTTCCTCGCCATACCCCCCCCCCATTTTCTCCTCCACCCCTCTTCAGGGACCCATCTCATGAGGCCTTGCTATGCACCGAAGTCAACCACCTACTCTCCATGGGTGCAGTAGAACCAGTCCCAGATGAGTTCAAAGGAAGGGGCTTCTACTCCCATTCTTTTCTCACTCAAAAGCAGTCGGGCGGTTGGCAACCTATGTTAGATCTCCGGAAATTGAACAAGTTTCTCCTAAAGCAACGATTCAAAATGGTGACCCTTGCTTCTATAATACCCACATTGGATCGCGACAACTGGTTTGCTGCCCTCAACCTTAAGGATACATATTTTCACGTCACAATCCATCCAGAATACAGGAGATTCCTATGGTTCACAGTTGGCATGGACCACTTCCATTACAAAGTCTTACCTTTCGGCCTCTCCACTGCCCCCAGAGTATTTTAAAAAATCCTGGTAGTGGTCACGGCACACCTCAGTTGACAAGGAATGATTATATTCCCTTACCTCGACGACTGCCTACTGAAGGACTGGTCATGTACCGAAGTCCTTGATATGGTCCACATTACTACAAGAACCTTCCATACCCTTGGACTACTCATCAATGACCAAAAGTCCACTTTTCACCCTACTTAAGAGCTGGAATTCATCGGTGCCCAGCTAGATGCGATCACCGCAAGAGCATACTTACCCCTCCAGAGATTCCAGGCTATTCTAGAATTGATAGAAGTCATTTGAGGCAGTCCTACCGTCCAGATAATCACTTGTTTAAAGCTCATGGGTCACATGGCTGCTATAACTTACGTGGTACACCATGCCAGACTACACTTTCACAGCCTTCAATACTGGCTAGTGTCAGTGTACAACCACACAAGACATGACATATACAGATCAGTGACCCCGCTGCAATCTGTCCTCCAGTCTCTCAACTGGTGGATGACTCGAACAAATCTTCTCTGCAGCGTGCCCTTTCACCAACAGCAACCCTCTCATCATATCATCAGTGGTGGGGAGGGCAAATGGGTACTATATCTGCCCAGGGCCAATGGTCACCCCCCAAGACACGGCTCCACGTAAACCTTTTAGAACTCTGGGTGATCTTCAATGCCTGCAGATATTTCCACAGCCACATTCACAATACTACGGTGAGAATCCTCACAGACAATGTCACAGCAATGTATTATATAAACCATCAAGGCGGAGCCCGCGTCCACTCCCTATGGGTGGAGGCAATCCATTTTTGGAACTGGTGCTTTCAGCATGGCATCACACGTATGGCATCTTACTTACCTGGCACCATGAACGTTGTGGCAGATTTCCTGAGCAATCACTTCACCCTGGATCACAAATGGGAGCTGCACGATGGAGTCCTCCACCTTCTCTTCCAGCGTTGGGGCACCCCCCTTATATATCTGTTTGCCACCTGTCACAACAAGAAATGCAGAAAATACTGCTCCAGAGCCTGACTCGGCACTGGCTCTCTAGGTGATGCGTTTCTCCTCAATTGGAACGGACCTCTCCAGTATGCCTTTCCACACACAGTTCTCATTCCCAAAGTACTGCAAAAAGTCAAAATGGACAGTGCCACAGTCATACTAATAGCACTAGCATGGGTGCATCAGCACTGGTTCCCCTTCCTTCGACGTAGACTGTATCCACTTTCAGCCCTCCCGAACCTTCTCACTCAGAACCAAGGGGCACTACGACACCCCCAGATACACACCTTGCAGCTTACTGCATGGCTCCTAGTTGGCTCAAATTGTCCAACACCTTGCAGCTTACTGCATGGCTCCTAGTTGGCTCAAACTGTCCAAATCCCTCTGCTCTACATAAGTCAGAGAGAAATTAATCCGCTATAGAAGACAAATGACCAGAACCACTTACCTTTCAAAATGGTGCAGGTTCATCTCTTGGTGTTCCATACAGCAGCTGCTTCCACATTCAGCTCCACTTCACATTATCCTCGACTACGTGCTGTACCTAAAATATACGGGGTTAACCTTAGCTACTCTCAGAGTTCATCTAGCGGTGATTTCCGCTTTCAGACAGCCTATTGAAGGCACCTCCCTGTTTGCCAGCCCAGTTACCAAGAGATTCATGAAAGGCCTTATAAACTTAAGCCCCCTTCGCAAACCCGTTCCTCCAGCATGGAACCTAGATATCGTACTTGGGGCTCTAACCATACCACCATTTGAACCGTTGGTAACTATACCATTACAGACGTTAACTATGAAGATGGTTTTCCTCCTCGCCATTACGTCCGCACATAGGGTCAGTGAGTTATCCGTGCTTATGGCAACACCCCCATACACCATGTTCAGTAAGGATGGGGTACTCCTAAGGCTTCACCCAGCATTTATCCCCAAAGTTTGTTCCACCTTTCATGTCAGCAAACCAATTATCCTTCCATCCTTTTACCCGAAACCTCATGCTTCATTGCATGAAGCATCTCTCCACACAGTCGATATTTGTAGAGCCCGTGCGTTTTATTTAGAACGCACAAGACCCTTCAGAAAAATGGATCGACTAATCGTTTCTCTGGCTGAGAGATCAAAAGGACAGCCAATATCATCTCAGCGCATCTCAGAAATCATAACCGTATGCACAACAGAGTGCTACGCAGCCAGATGTGTACCATTTCCAACGCAACCTCGAGCATATTCCACGAGAGCAATGGTAGCATCAGCAGCCTTCCTCGAGGGTGTCTCCCTCAAAGACATTTGTAGAGCAGCCACCTGGTCATCCCATGACACGTATGTAAAACATTACACAATACAGCAGAGGGGGCTCTCAGATACTGCAGTGGCATCAGCAGTGCTCGCATCAGCAGACAAATAGGGACTCCGAGTCCCACCTTCCTGCTCACCGGGGTACTGTTGCTCAGTCACCTGCGGTGGAGCACCCACAGAGACATCACTCGAAGAAGAAAGCGAAGTTACTCAACTTGGTGCAGTAACTGTCGTTCTTCGAGATGTGTGACCCTGTGTGTGCTCCACTACCTGCCCTCCTCCCCGCTTCGGAGTCTCTCTCCATTTGTGTCTTCCAGATTCAGAGGCAGTTTCGAGGAACTGGCAGGGGCTGGATCATGCAACCGCACAAAAGAGTGCGAATGCCACGAGATGCCGCCACGCGTGCACAGTCTGGCCACATACTGCTACGGGAAAAATTTCCATTTTGAGATGCCGGGGCGAGCCCAGCACCTGCAGTGGAGCACCCATGGGGACACACATCTTGAGGAACTACAGTTACTGCACCGAGGTGAGTAACTTCGCTTTACAAACCACCATTTATTTTTAATAATTTTTGTATTATAGCACAATAGAACTAGATACACCCTCTAGAGATGAAGATCTATAGTTATAAATTGAAATATTCCTGCCTTCATATTAAGTGTAAAAATAATTAGAGAGGTTGTAAAAATGCACAAGTTATCTATACAAGTCAGAAAGATGGAGCTCGGAAAAACAAAATGGATGAGACTAGTAGTTTTTAGAATTTCATATTTTAACCATTTTACATTGATAGGACTGAAAATATAAATTAAACAATTAATTTCTAAATTATTAAATGTATTACTTCCCTACAACTCTGTTTATGCAGTTTCAGAGGCTTTTGTTAATATAGTGATTTAATTTGACAAAATGGATGAAAAGTATGTATAAAAAGTGAGTTTAATAACTAATTCTGTGTTAATAGATTCCCAGACCTGGTTACTGGATGGTAGTCAACACTTAAATCTCAGATTAACTCAGTTTTGTGTTCTCTTTTATAATTCAGCTAGGGATGTAAGCAATTAGTCGAGTCACTACTCGACTACTCACTTCCCTTCCTCTCCCCTCCGCTGCCTCTGATACAGAATTGGCTCTTAGATACAGATATAGCAAGGGGAGGAAGCAGGAGCTGGTGCTGGGGGGAGCTGGCTTAAAAGATGGTTCCCCCCAGCACCATCTCCCCAGTGTGTGGCATGGGGAGGCAGTAGAGGCATAGGCGCAGCAGTCCAGGACCAGCAGAGCCAGGACTGGGACCTACCCCTGCTGCGACTCTGCAGTTTAAATGTAGTAGGAGCCGGGCTGCATGCGCACCCAACTCCTACTACATTTAAACTGCAGAGCTGCAGCAGGGTCCCTTATCGACTAATCGTGTAGTCAATACAAATTGTATTGACTACAAAATCAGTCAGTTACCTGCCTCTTAACATCATTAAATTCAACTTTAATTAGTAGGGAATCACTAATGAGCTATACAAAAAAGTCTTGACATTTCTGTAATATCTTGGTGCTTCTATAGAGAATATGGTTTCTCTGATTTGGAAGTTTGCATTTAATCATGTACATGTTTAATAAGTTTTTATATTAAATTCTAGTGATTTTGGAGAAAAATAGAGAACCAGTTTGCAGGAATAAACCATGTGCAAGAAGATTTAACAGATAATACCTCTGTTAAAAAACATAAGTTTTGCATCTGTCAGAAAGTAGGCACTAAGATTAAAGCATACATAGATGGCATACACATTTAGTAAGGTACATTATAGCTGGTATTTTCTTTATCTCTTTTTCAGAAAGCAGTAAAAAAACACTTTCCATTTTCAACCCATGACAACAGGCATTGTTTACAGAATGTAGGAGAGTACTTTGATTTTGTAAGTATCCAGCACTAAGAAAATCTGCAAATTCATCTCTCAACCTGCCACAGATTAAAGACAATATTCTTGTAAAATTCATGGGTGCTCAAAAAGGTGATGAGAGAAAATGCACAGCAATGATAACGTGCATATTGTTGGGACGTAACTTCTTATGTGTGCTGACATGTCTTCTCAATCCTCGTAACAGTGTAACATAGCATTTACAGATATCTAGAATAGTATTTAGGGTCTGGCAAGACTGGTAAATCCTTAGTTGACTTCTTGCGGAACTGGGTCTACATCTACACTGCAGGCTTCTTTTGGAAGAAGCTTTTCCGGAACAGATCTTCTGAAAAAACTTCTTCTGATAGAGAGTGTCCACACTGCCAAAGCACATCAAAAAAGCGATCTGCTTTTTTGAACTATAGCATCCACGCTGAATGGACGCTATCTTGCATTTCAGCTGTGATTACTATGGATGGAGTGGCCACCAGAGCACCCGTGCTTTTTCTTCTTTCCTCTTCTTTTGAAAGAACTCCCTCTTCCCCGTCCACACTTTCCTTTTTCTGAAAGAGCTCTTTTGAAAAAAGGCTTTTTCCTTGTAGAAAGAGATTTACCAATGTCGGAAAAACCACTCTGTTCTTTCAATTTTTTTTTCCTGAAAGAACATGATTGCAGTGTAGACCTAAGTGAAGTTTTTTCAGAAAAACTCTGTAGTGTAGACATAGCCATAGTGGCCCAAATCATATCACTTTACCTTAATCTGCTGGTTTATGGATTAGCCACTTGAAAAAGTGTTTTTTATATGGAGTTTAAATCTGGACACAATGATTGCTTAGTGTACAAATATAAATCTGGCATTCCATTTTGGAAGTGCTAATCTCACACTGCTGTGCTGGTGAAATTCATCTCTTTTTATAAAAAGTTAGTATAAATGGTCTTTTTGCAGGCAGTTAAGTAGTGATTGTAATAAACAACTCATGAGCAAACTTCGGGATTGCAGCACAGCCTTTCTGCACATGTCAATACGAACAGTTAGTGCATGGCACGCTGGGGTGTAAATCTATAATGCACTAGCCAGCTTTGCACTAAGTGTCCATATTGTATTTTAATCTACCCTCCTTTGATAGTAGCATACCCTGTTAGAGGCTGTGGGGCTGAAATAAAGGCTGTCCTGCTATCATAGGCTCTGGATCTGCGCAAGCATAGATTGTGTGCTCCCCTGGCACAACCCCATCTCTTCAGGTTATTTGGAACTAGTATGGTACTTACAGAGGCCTCCATATGTAGCTGGTCTGCCTGGAAGTTTAGTAGGGGATCTTATAGAGTTATGTGTTTAAAAGTATTGTATAAGAGTAGATTTCAGCCTTTCAGGAATCTGATTTGTCTTGCATATCCCGCATTTCATCTCACTTAAACAGCTACATGTTTATAAAATCAAACATTAAAATACAGTGTCACAGCACACACTTACTGAAAAAATTGCTTAGTTTCTCATTTTGTTTCTATGACAATGGGGCGATAGCCTCGTTCAGCCCCTGGCAAGATGGGGCTGGGCCCTGCTCCGTGCCTCCAGAAGAGGTGGGGCCTAATGCAAAAGGGGTAGGGTATGAGCTAGGCATTCCTAAGCACTGCCCAAAGAATGCTGTGCCTCCCCCAGGTAGCCCTCAGTGCTATCTAGAGCACATTCCGGCAGCGATTTAAAGAGCCCGGGGCTTCAGCCGCTGCCACAGTAGTGGTGGCATCCAGGAAGTCCAGGCCCTTTTGTATTGCTGGGCTCTGGGGCAGTTGCCCCCCTCCCATTGGTGGGCCTATCTATGAAATTTTAGTTTTGACTGGTATCATTAGTGTTTTTTGTGTAGACTCTTGTAAAACTAAGCAAATATCTAGATGAGTTATTATATTGCCTGGAAGACCTCTGATCCCCAGTTGAGAATCACTGTCCTACATGAATGACCACTCTGAGCAAATTTTAAAATTTCTTCTTTTGCCTTTTATGTTTGCATGCCTAATAATTTCAATTTTGATTTTTTTTTCCATTTTGGAATGTTGATATGTTTCTGTGGCAACAAAAGACAGCACAGTCTACTAGGGTATGTCTACACTACCCCGCTAGTTCGAATTAGCGGGGTAATGTAGGTATACCGCACTTGCAAATGAAGCCCGGGATTTGAATTTCCCGGGCTTCATTTGCATAAGCGGGGAGCCGCCATTTTTAAAACCCCACTGGTTCGAACCCCGTGTAGCCGCGCTGCACGGGGTTCGAACCAGCGGGGTTTTAAAAATGGCGGCTCCCCGCTTATGCAAATGAAGCCCAGGAAATTCAAATCCCGGGCTTCATTTGCAAGTGTGGTATGCCTACATTACCCTCCTAGTTCGAACTAGGAGGGTAGTGTAGACATACCCCTAGAGAGTACGTAGAACAGGGAGTCAGGAACTCCTGTGTTCTGATTCCTGCTCTGGTACTGAATCCCTTTGTGACCTTGGGCAACTCTTAGACCCATATTTCCAAAAGCATTCATTAGATGTAAGAATCCTCTGTTTTCTTGTCCAGTGTGATATACTCGATGCCTGATAATTTTCAGGGATGTTGATCATGTAGAACTCCAGGAGTTCAGTAGGACCTATGGGTTCCTCACCTAAGAAAATTCACTCTGTGGGTCTCAGATTTGGCATACAAAAATAAGGGACACTTTTGAAAAACTTGGTTTTATACTTGATGGCTGTGTCTAGACTGGCAAGTTTTTCCGGAAAATCAGCCGCTTTTCCGGAAAAACTTGCCAGCTGTCTACACTGGCCGCTTGAATTTCTGGAAAACCACTGACAATCTCATGTAAGATCGTCAGTGCTTTTCCGGAAATACTATGCTGCTCCCGTTCGGGCAAAAGTCTTTTTCCGAAAGACTTTTGCGCAAAAGGGCCAGTGTAGACAGCACAGTACTGTTTTCCGCAAAAAAGCCCCGATTGCGAAAATGGCGATTGGGTTTTTTTTGCAGAAAAGCGCATCTAGATTGGCCACGGACACTTTTCCCCAAAAAGTGCTTTTGCAGAAAAGCATCCTGCCAATCTAGACGCGCTTTTCCGAAAATGCTTTTAACAGAAAAGTTTTCCGTTAAAAGCATTTCCGGAAAATCATGCCAGTGTAGACGTAGCCTGTATGTTTATCTGTAGGTCAAAAATCACATTATTTACCTACTTTGCTGAATTTTTGTGAGGCTTCATTTATTTAGTACTGCACTTTGAATATATAAAGTGCTATAACAATTAAACAATTATTTTATTCAAAATAATAGATCAAAAGTAAGTATGTCTATTTCTGGTTTTCTTTTTTTGTCTGTGCAACAGAATAGTTAACTCTGCTACTAGAAAGGAATATATTGGTAAGTCTGAGAATAGTATTTATGACCTAACTGCTTGCAGCAGATTAGAGGTGGTTCTGATAATTATTTTGATAAGTGCTTCTTTAATTTTTATTAAATGACAAAGTAGTGGATTTCTTGCCCAATGTTCCAAACTTTAACAGTGAAACTGTGGTTCTGAAATGTACATTTTCATCAGTTTTTTCTTCAAATTTTTTTCCTAGAGTTTAGGACGAAAGAAGATTGAACCGGAAAGAAGCCAACAGACTTCACAAAACTTTTGTCTATGGGCACATGAATATATTCCTAGCAATCATGATGGTTTTACCATTTATCAAACATCATTCATAGGGCACCAAGAGACGGAGCGTCCTTTTTGTAGACGATATCCAAAGCAGCACTTAGAAAGGTGCTATATTTATAAATCTATTCCCGAGAATGAAAAACAAATGTAGTCTAACCACCATGTTAATTGCAGGACTCCTTCTTTAGTAACTACTGAGACTGATTAATATCCTTTCTCTGAATCCGAACTACTTTTATCCCTCAAAAACATGATGGAATAAACATCTGTGTAAAATGGATACTGCAATACAAGTTGCAAATAGGTCTGATTTACAGTTGGCAGGTTGATTGAAATTAGCAATTGTCTTGCTGTTTGCAAATTCTTTAGCTTTACTAAAAACTAAAATTACTATGAAAATGTAAGTTACAATAAAGTAAGTTGTAATGAATCACAATAACATTGGGAAGTAAAATACGGTTGTCTTTGCATAGTTTTATTTATCTATATATTTTAGAGTACATCTGTCTGGGCGTCTGTGAGTCCATTTGTTCAAGAACTCCTAAACTGTAAGAGCTAGGACCACCATGTTTGGTGGGCAGCTTCCTCTTACCCTAAGTTAAACCAAGGTCAGGGTTTGGATATGCCTAGAAAATGGAGATGCCAGGAATGGGACTGTTATCCATAACATGGAAAGGGAGGGGCACAGAGAGGAGGGATATGATACTGAGAGTGGCCACTGGGGGCAACTGCAGCACAAAGAGAACAGCTAGCAGGGCTGGGGCTCTGCCAACTTGCCTGCTACCAGACCAGGTAAGGAGTCCCCCTGCCACAAACTTGGAGCCCGCCCTGCCCCGTGGAGAACCTACAGGCTGCAGGCGGAGGTGCTAGAGGAAGGGTCAGCCCCCAGAGCCATGCACCCACCCCCAGATAGCCTGCAAGCCACGGGAAGACCTGCTGGAAAAGGGGGCAGCCCTCAGGGCATGGCCCTTCTCCAGACTGCCTACAGGCCATGTGGGGGCAGCCCCCAGAGCCTTGACCCTTCCCCGCCCATCCATAGCCTGCAGGCCATGGGAGGCTGCTGAAAGGGGAACAATGTGACCCTTGCAGCCATGGGCTGTCCCGGTAAGCTCCCCTATCTCCCAGCTCCCAGCCTTGAGTCCTGCACCTCTCACATGCCCTGACTTATACACCCCCACTTCTTTCCCCCTTCCCTGAAGCTTCCACCCTTTGCATTGAGCTCCCGGACGCTTCCCAACTCTCTGCCTTAAGCCACCCATCGCCTGCCTCTCCTTACCCCTGAACCTTCACTCCACCCTTCATTTTCCTTCATTTTCAAAAATACAATAATTGAAATAAAGCATGTACAATTTTCATTTATTTAAAAATCCCCTTCATGTAAAGAGCCAAACAACACAACTTATATCTGCTAGTAGTTATACATTTTCACAGTTACATATTCACCAAGATGTAGGGCCATCTCTGGGGGAGGTAGGGGTCCGCAGCCCTGCTCCACCTCTGCCTGTCCCTGCTCCATCTCTTCCCCAAGCTCTGCTCCTATTTCACCCCCCTCCTGCCCCAGGTGCAGGATGGCAGCAGGGGTTGGTCCCAATTCTGCGCTCACAGCAATGGCGGGAGCTGGAGTGGCCCAGCAGCCTGTTCTGTTTCCCCCTCTCCCAGTCCACTGTGTTCCTCTTCTCCATGGCAGCACGAAGTGCAGCGCCCTGGGGCTGGGGCATTCTGCTTCCCGCTGCCACGGTAAAGCCAAGCACAGCGGGCTGGAAGAGGCCAGGTTGGAGCGGAGCAGGTTACTGGGCTGCTTCAGCTCCCATTGCTGCGGTGAGTGCCAGGGGGTGTAGGGCTGTCTCCTGCTGTCACCCCCCACCAAGCCCCGCCCTGCAGGTAATCAATCCCCTGGCTTCCTTGGGATCCGTCCATTGGACAGTTGAAGTGGCCGCCAAAGGGGCCCCAAAGCATCGGGTTTGGGCCAGCGGCCCTGAACCATCCTATGGATGGGATGGCTTTGCTCAGATGGCTAGAGCATAAGGCATTGTGCATGCCCAATGGCAGAAACTTAGGCACCAAGCAAACTTTGATAGCAAAAATTTAGCAATGAGCAATCTTAGGCATGAACTGAGTTAAGCAGCAACCAAGCAGGATTTTGAGTCTGTGGTGTCTAAATTTTTAATTTAGGTGCCTCAAGTGGAGTTAGGTGCCTAAATCCTTTTGTGGATCTGGGCCACAGTGACTGTACTTGTAAAGTATGATTTGAAATTGATTTATGCCTTTAGGCATGAATCAGGGTCCCTGTCTCTGCTGCTGCAGAAGATTCTCTAGCAGTGGAACCAGTAGCATGGGGGGAGGGAGGGCAATGCACAGGAATTGATGGGGACTGGGCAGTCAGCTGTATACAGTAAAGCTGGATCTTTGGGGCCCACCTCCAGACACAAATCACATCAGGATCATACACTGTAGTTTCAGACATGGGGGTGAACTTTGCTGGGCTGTGTCATAAGTGTCTCTTTATTTTCCTCACACATACCTCTACCCAGGTTTTAATCATGGTGTATGTGACCCATGATGGAAACTACATAATAAAGCAATTCAATAGTATAGTTAAGTGTAGGCATAACCAAAAAAAACAAACAAACAAAAAAAAGGAAATTGACATAAAGGAATGTCACAATGTGTGTATGTGATTATATCAATAGTGGTAAGAACATGAGGAAATAGTTCAGAAAAGGGTTTAGAATGGTAAGCTGTGTGAAGGATTTCCTTAAATTTAGCAGGAATTGGATCTGGAAAAAGTTCATGTTTTCATGGTTAAACACCACCACAACCATTAAGTTAAACGAAGGCTGGTTCTACAACCCTTTGCACAAGGAACTACTATGGATTGCAACATGCAGAAGACTTGTAAGATTGGGTCCAAAAATAACATGTTTTCCTTCTGCAGACCATTTTAATTCATATATTTTATCATTACAAAACCAAAATGTACACATCTTAGAACAATCTGGAAACAAACACATTACCGTGCAAAATAGTGTAGTACAGGCAACTAAAGCACAAACTTTTAGGAAAAGTTGACGTGACTATTAAATACATTTATTTCCACTTTGAATTCACTGAGTTGGAAAGATGCAACAAGAGTTATTTTGACATATTTTTAATCTCTTCATGTCACATCAAAATATATTGGAAGATTTCCAGAAGTAGTAATTTCCTTAGCACATGTTGAAATAATAATAATAATAATAATAATGATGATGATTTTATTTTTAAAGTGCCCCCTACTGAGGTACTGCACATTTTAAAACACAAAACATCATTAAACTAGACAAAAACAGATAAAAGGCCAAGTAAAATCAGATAATTAAAAAAGAATAATTTTGTTTGTTTGTTTCAGAGTAAATAGAACCAGTCTGTCAGCTCTTAAATCAGATTTTCCAATGCTTTGGCCAACAAATTTCACCTCCAAACTCATTCAGAACCAATGTTCATGCCAATCATATGGTATGAAAAGTACCCCACACTGTTCAGTATACTCAAGAGTGTAATCTCGGGGAAAAAGCATTACAAATGCAGAAAGAATGTGTATCTGTGGTTTAGTATTGCAAATGAATATAGTGAAATGAGTCTCTGGTTTGTTATGCTTTTCCCTCAACAATCAAAAGATTCCAGATTTGTTTCTCTAACTCATTTTGCTCTGCTTAAATTTTGACTTAGACTATTTTAAAAAGTAGTTGTGGCTTAGTTTGTCTGTAAATTCTCAAATAGGATTGTAATAAAGATTCCAAGGAAAAAGTGAAGGAAACATGTCTCTTTCCAAAGTGGAATTTAAATGGTTTTAGTTGAACTTACTAAAATATCTTCAGTGATTCCCAGATATTCTCAACTCCCACTGATATTCTGAACAATACATTTGCATATGAGACAATATATGTAAATGTATTCTTGTAGTTATATTAATTTGATATATTAATTTTAAATGACTGATAAGAAGCCCAATCTGTTGGAATGTTTGGTCTTCTGAGACCAGATTCACAAAGGGATTTAGGCATCTTAACAATCAATTTTAGGTGCTACTGTGATCCACAAATCTCTGCCTTAATCAGTACATGCCTAAACTCACTTGCCACCTATATTTTTATTGTAAAAGGTCCCTTAACATTGATGTTTCTGCCTTTGGGTATGTGAATGCTGCCTTTAGGAATTTAGCTGCCCAAACCTTAGAAAATAGTTGCTCTTCTGCCTATGTTGCTTCATCTGATAGGTGTGCTCAGTGGATGCCTAATTCCACAGTCTACACTGGCGGGGTGTTGTGCCAGAAGTATGCAAATGAGCAGGGCTTGCCAACCCACGGTGAGCCCTGCTCACCAGCCGTGCTGTCCAGCGATCTGCACATGCGCAGATCGTTCTGCGCATGCGCAAATTGCCTGAACCCAGCTCTTCCGGGTTGCAATCTACTCGCAGTAGATTGTATTATTTGTTGAGCCCTGCAAATGAGGCTAAGCGTGGAATATTGCCGAGACTCATTTGCATACCTAATGAGCCACCATTTTACGGAAGAGGCTCTTGCACTAGAAGGAGCTGTCTACACTGCCCTTTCTTGGCAAGAAAAACCCTCTTGCACAATGCTGTTATTCCTGAAAATAATCAGCATAGCGACATTGCACAAGAGGGTTTTTCTTGCGCAAGAAAGGGCAGTGTAGACAGCTCCTTCTAGCGCACGAGCTTCTTCTGCAAAAATAGCAGTTCATTAGGTATGCAAATGAGGCTCAGCAATATTCCACGCTTAGTCTCATTTGCACATCTCTGGCACAAGATTGCGCCAAGGTAGACATAGCCTAAGTGGAGGGAAAGGAAAGGAAAACCTCATAGCCTCTAACCCACTGTTTAGGCTACTCACTTGGGGTATGTCTACACTACCCCGCTAGTTCGAACTAGCGGGTAATGTATGCATACCGAACTTGCTAATGAAGCCCGGGATTTGAATTTCCCGGGCTTCATTAGCAAGTTCGGTATGCATACATTACCCCGCTAGTTCGAACTAGCGGGTAATGTATGCATACCGAACTTGCTAATGAAGCCCGGGATTTGAATTTCCCGGGCTTCATTAGCAAGTTCGGTATGCATACATTACCCCGCTAGTTCGAACTAGCGGGTAATGTATGCATACCGAACTTGCTAATGAAGCCCGGGATTTGAATTTCCCGGGCTTCATTAGCAAGTTCGGTATGCATACATTACCCCGCTAGTTCGAACTAGCAGGGTAGTGTAGACATACCCTTGGGAAGTAGGAGATGCCAATTCATTTCCCCTTCTGCCAGATGTGGACAAGGTGAATGTCTTAACCACTAAGCTATAGAGCAAATCACTCTCTCCAGACCAGTTATTCATTAATTAAAGTGAAACAACTTTAACAAGAGAATGAGAAGACAGGGGTAAATGTAATTTGACTTTCTTACAAG